TAATACACACAGGTCAGGGCGTCTTAGCTAAGCAGTAAACCCTCAGATGGATGCTAGATAAAATATTGTAATCCCGTTAAATTTGAACTTCAGAAAAACAACAGTTAGTGTTCTGATATAACTATGTCCCAAGTACATGGGGCATGCTGTATTTTTATGTATTAAATCTGGCGATTCTAACAAGGTTTTCAGTATGTTTTTAGTACAGTTTAAACAACTCACAGTTGCTGCGTACTTTCAGCATGGTGTTTACACTCAGGGGCGGCTGCTGGTGGCTCATGTCTATAATCCTAGCACTCTGGGAGGCTGAGGCAGGTGGATTGCTCGAGCTCAGACTAACCTGAGCAAGAGCCAGACCCTATCTCTACAGAAAAACTCTCCAGGTATCCTGGCAGTGGCTCTAGTCCTAGCTACTTGGGAGGCTGAGTCAAGAGGAATGCTCAAGCCCAGGAGTTTGAGGTTGCTGTGAGCTATGATGTCGTAGCACTCTGCCTAGGGCGACTGAGTGAGACTCTGTCTTGAAAAAAAAGAAGAGATTTTGAAAGACAAATATTGAGTGATCTAACTCATGTGGAATCTAAAAAAGCTGATCTCGCAGAAATAGAGAGTAGAACAGGGGTTACTAGAGGTTGCAGTGCGGAAAAGGGATAGGAGGATGGGGACACGTTGGTCATGAGGTAAAAAGTTACAGTTAGATAGAAGGAATAATTCCTGGTGTTCCACTGCTCAGTAGAGTGACTGTACTTAACAATAATATGTTGTGTATTTCAAAATTGCTTGAAGAGAGGATTTTGAATGTTCTCACCACAAGGAAATGATGAAAGTTTGAGGTGATGGATTTGCTAATTACCCTCATTTGATCATTACACAATGTACGCATGTATTGAGACATCACATTGTACCCCAGAATTATGTACAATTATTATGGGTCAGTTAAAAATAAAACTTTTAAAAGAAGAATCAAGAAAAAGAAATTTGTTTTTGAGACGGAGTCTCACTCTACTGCCCAGGCTGGAGTGCTGTGGCATCAGCCTAGCTCATAGCAACCTCAAACTCCTGGGTTCAAGACAACCTTCTGCCTCTGCTTCTCGAGTAGCTGGGACTAAAGGCACCGGCTCTATTTTCAGTAGAGTCAGGGTCTCACTCTTGCTCAGGTTGGTCTGGAATTCCTAAGCCCAAGCAATCCTCCCACCTCCGCCTCATAGAGTACTAGGATTATGGTGTGAGCCACTGCTCCTGGATAGAAAGAATTTTTTTTTAATTATTAAAGAGGAAATTGATGAAGAAGGAAATTGAACAACAGTTTTATCGAATTTGGTGTAATCTTTTTAATTATCTGATTTAAACTCCCCTACCAGATAATGTCATCAATTCTTTTCATGTATATATTTTTTAATGTTCTAATCAAATAAGTCCTGAATATTTAAAATCCTTATTTCTGTCAGCATTGAATTTGATTGAGGGGAAATGGATGTATACTAACTAGTCAAGAATAAGCTGGGAGCGGCGCCTGTGGCTCAAAGGAGTAGGGCACCGGCCCCATATACTGGAGGTGGTGGGTTCAAACCAGGCCCTAGCCAAAAACTGCAAAAAAAAAAAAAAAAAAAAAAAAGAATAACCTAAAAGCTCGTTATAAAGTAGAAATTATTCTAAGGAATTTGCAATTCCTTACAGTACTTATTTAAAATAATATTAAATACAAAAGCTAATTGATACACAGTTTTTCCAATATGAAAATTAGACATATATGACTTTATATGGAACAGTGTAGGGGAAAAAATTAAACATGTAGAACTTATTGTTAGAATCCCTTTTATTATTTTCATAATATAATGATAAAGCACACAAGTACATTTAATATAATCATAAGTTAATCAAATCTCAGGATTATAAGACCATAAATATACCATTTGTAATTGAGACTATATATTCTCTTTCAGAGGAAAACCCTGAAGAAGTATAGAAATTTCTAAGGGACAAAACCCAGCCACTCTTATTCAAATTTCCTTGTAAGAATAACCAAAATAATCCCTTATTTTTTTACTTGATTTACATCCAGTTTCACCAGTTGTCTCTTAGCAATAGTATAGCTGCAATAATTGAAGTCCCAATTGAGAGAAAAGATGGATAAATTTGACTACATTAAAAATAAAATTCGGCTTGGCGCCTGTGGCTCAAGTGGTTAAGGCGCCAGCCATGTATACCCAAGGTGGCGGGTTTGAATCCAGCCTGGGCCTGCCAAACAACAGTGATGGCTGCAACCAAAAAATAGCCGGGCATTGTGGCGGGTACCTGTGGTCCCAGCTACTTGGGAGGCTGAGGCAGGAGACTCACTTGAGCCCAGGAGTTGGAAATTGCTGTGAGCTGTGATGTCACAGCACTCTACCCAGGAGGACAGCTTGAGGCTCTGTCTCAAAAAAAATAAAATAAAATAAAATTCAAAAACTTTATGGCAAGCAACTCTATAAAATCATCATCAACATTATTCACAAAGTTAAGGGACAAACAATTGATGGAAAAATTATTTGATATATTAAGAGCACCTGTAAATCATTAGAAAAGACAGTAGAAATATGAGGAAAGAAATAGAAAAATGGGAAAAGAGTATGAATGAGAGTCTAAAAAAAGTAAGAAATACAAACAGTCCTAAACATAAAAGATAGAAATTCCAACTAAAATCATACTAAAATGCCATTTTTCATTCATCAGAGTGCAGAAGTTTGAAAGTCTTTTTTTTTTTTTTTTTGAGACAGAGCCTCAAGCTATTGCCCTGGGTAGAGTGCCGTGACATTACAGCTCACAGCAACCTCCAACTCCTGGGCTCAAGTGATTCTCCTGCCTCCGCCTCCTATGTAGTTGGGACTACAGGTGCCCACCACAATGCCCGGCTATTTTTGGTTGTAGCTGTCATTGTTGTTTGGTGAGCCCAGGCTGGATTTGAACCCGCCACCTCAGGTGTATGTGGCTGGTGCCTTAGCCGCTTGAGCCACAGGCGCTGAGCCAGTTTGAGAGTCTTGATAGCACACTCTGTGACAATGCAGTTGGGAACTTGGAACTCTCATCTGTTGCCAGTGGGAGTTTAGACAGCTATAATCTTCTGTGGAGGGTAACTTGGTTATATCCATCGATGTTACAACTACCCAGACTGACTACCCAGTAATCTGATTTCTAGGACTTAATCCCATAGACATATTTTCACATATGAGAAAGTAAGCGGAAGGTCATTAATTGCTGTTTATAATAGTAAGAGATTGGAAAGGATCCAAATATCTCTCAAAAATAACTATTGAAATATATTGTTGTATATCCATACAATGGAACATTATGCAAGGGTGAAATGAATGAGAAAACCCTATGTACTGATGTGGAAAGATTCACCAAGCCAGACCCAGTGGCTCACACATGTAATCCCACAACTTTAGGAGGCCAAGACAGGAGGATTGCTTGAGGCTAGGCATTCAAGACTAGCCAGGGCAACAGAGTAAGACCTCATCTCTACAAAAAAATTTCAAAAATTTAGCCAGATAAGGTGGCATGTACATGTAGTCCTTGCTACTTGGAAGGCTAAGCCAGGAAAATTGCTAGAGCCCAGGATTTCAAGGTTACAGTGAGCTACAGTAGCACCACTATGCTCCAGCTTGGGTGATAGAGTGAGACCAAGTCTCTTAAAAAAAAGAAAGAAAGAGAGAAACGTTTACTAAGATATATCTGAAAAAGCAAGGTGTATAATAGTGTAGAAAGCAGAATGAAACAAATATATATATTAAAATTGACTTCTATTTGCATAAAGAAACTGACAGGACATAGGAGAACCTAACTGAGGTGGTTTCGTATTTTCAGAGGTGGGGAGGCTGGAGGCTGGAGAGGTAGGGGGTGGAGATGGAAACGGGACTTCTGTGTACCTGTTTGTGCATACATCTTTTAAGTTTCTGAGCCTCATGGATATTACTTATGCAGTAATCAAATAAGAGTGAAGAGCGGTCTGTGCCTAGGCCCAGAAGCAAGAGGGAGTTTGGACATTTGGAGGAATTTCAGGGGTCAGACTGACAGGTGTGGGGAATGTGAAGGTGGGGAGCGGTGAGAGATGAGATGAAAAGATGCTGAAGATGCCCCAGAGGGTGTGCCAGAGTTGGTAAGAGAGAAAGGATCAGTGCAAGTCAGCAGGAGGGATGGCCCCGAAGTCTTAGAATGAACTACTGGTGCCAGAAAATCCTTGCTGGGCGAGTAGAGAGTGGGCTGTGTGTAGAGCTGGGGCAGAAATGCCCAGGTAATTGGCAGGGGCCAGGTCTCTATAGACAGAATGGGGTCAGAATAAAGAAATGTCACAGGATAAGCAAGACACAATTTTTACAGCTCAAACCATAATATAAGCTCTGGAAAACAAAACAAAGTGAAACATGGCCTCCTTCAAGCAGCATCAGTGCACCCTTGTGCTTTATCTGCCAACCCCAACACATCTTGATAAGGAAGCCATGGCAACTTCCAGCAAACTGTTGTGTCCCCTATGATCTTATTTCTAAACCGAACATTTTAGATCTCCCAAGACCGCTCAATTTGGAATAAGAAGACTTTGATTTGAGACCCTGAGTGATCCACTGTATAACCTTGGACAAAACACATAGCATCTTTGAAACTCTCGCTGTCTGTGAAACAAACAAGATGAGGCCTGCTGTACTCCCCTGAGTCAAGTGAGGCTCAAGTGTGTCCTTGGAAACTGTACTCTGCCCATGGGTGAGAGGGCTATGCACTGTTTACTCTGTGCTGAGTTAGTAAATAGGGCAGGAGAAGCTGTCAGAGCAGGGAAATGAAAGAGAATGTCCCTGACTTTTGAGGGAAATCACTGAATTTCCTTCTATGCTACATGTTGTATGGCAAGGAAGCCCAAACCGAGGGAAACATTAGATCTATCTAAATAATTTCAACTATTATTATTAACTTAGTCATTACTATTATAGTTATCTTAGTAATGGTAAATATTTTAATTATCATTAAAAGCAACTATTTTTTTTGCTAATATTTATCAAGAACTTAACCAGTGGCAAGGTCCTGTGCTGTTTTATGAACATTTTCTCTTTATTCCACAGGAGAGTCCAGCAAAGTAGCAATTGTTATTATAATCATTTTATGGATGAAGGGACTGAAGGGTCAGGTAAATTGCACAAGGGCACAGCAGCTGGCACGGGCAGAACCAGGATGCGTTCACATCACTCTGACCCGAGCTGATGCTCTTGACTTTTGTATCATTCTGCTGTTCCAAGGGGACCTATATCCAAGTGAGGGAGGCGGGAATCAGGGCAAGGACATCTGTCTTTCTACACGGTGATTCTTATTCATATTGTTGAACTTCCCTTACAGTACTAACAAGTGTGGCTACCCTCAAATTTGTAACGCAGCCAAGATTCTTTTTAAACAGCTTCCATGCTTATATCACCCAGCCCCCCACTTTGGCAGCCATGTTCTCCCATGTCTAGCTCACACCTGGCCCTCTACCTTTGACCATGATAGGCATTTGAATAACTAACTAGTCTTGAACTATCATAGGCACAACAAATCAGTTTGAATGAAACTACTTAATATCCACTCAGTGAGGGTATACCCTGCGGTATTCCAGGCATGTGGATTCCAAGTCAAATGTGAGTAGAGCAGCATCTGCAGACTCCCCGTCCGGTGCAGCAGACATGCCAGCATTTAACCAAAACTAAGCTGAGTTCTCTGATACCGGTTGGTGTTCCTTAGATTTGCCTGAGCATTAAAATCACCTTTGCCACTTTATTTAAAAAAATAACAAAAACTCCTACAGTTTCTTGAGTCCTGGCCCAGACAAATTGAATCAGAATCTCTTGAGGAAGGTCCTGGGAATCTGCCTTTCTAACAAATGCCCTGGGAGTCTTAGAGTTATGTAAGTTTGGGAAATGAGACATCAGTAGAAACAGGATACTGTGGGGTCAGAGGAGGAAGTTGCTAAGTCTATCTGTGGGTGGGAAGATTAGCCAAAGCCTCCCAGCAATGTTTAGGCCACACCTTAAAGAGTGAGTAAGCACACAAGTAGAAGGGACTTTCTAAGCAAGGAGAATTTCAGGTGAAGCCTTTGACGCATGAAAAAGAATCGTTTGTTCAGAGTGGGTGCGTGGAGTTTGTGTGACTGCTAAGAAGGGCAGCAGCTGAAGGTGAAGGAGTAGGTCAGAGTCCTAATGTGAAGTCTGTTGACTTTACCCTAAAAGCCACAGGGGCCACTGCAGGATTTTAATTAGGCAAGAGAAGGAATTTCACTCTGTTGGCAAAGGGGAGAATGGCCTGATAAGAGAGAGACATGGAGTCCAGTCTGAAGGCTGTCAGGGTGTCAGGGAGGTTCCCAGGAGCAATTCGCCAACTAAGAGTAGTGGGATGGCTCAGGAGGTAATTTCAGAGCTAAAATTGACAGGACTTAGTGATATTTTGATTTTGTTATTTAACTAAGTGAGTGGGGCAATAGGATGACTCCTTGCTCAGACAATGGAGAGAAGGGTGGGTCACTGCCACTGGTGAGGGGTGTGGGAGGAGGAGAAAGGGGTGGTGACGGGAACATGAACTCTGTCCCTGTGAGCAGAGTTTCATTGGCTCTGGGGGATCCTACCCACTGGGTGTTTGGATGTCTGAGGATAGAGATTTAGGAGCCCACAGCATCGTGATGGGAGACAAAGCCTCGGAGCAGGTGAGACTCACTGAGGGGCGTGCAGAGGAAGAGCAGAAGGTGCTGAAGGCCAAATGGTGAGTGCTTAGAGGCGGGTGAGGAAGAGGGGTGGGAGGAAGACCATAGAGGGGCTGGGAGAAGGCAGAGAGCACTGAGAGGGAAAGTTACCAAGGAACCCAAGGAAAGTGAGTTTTCCAGAAAAGAGTGATCTATGGGGCAAAATGGAAGAGATACCCTCTGGGGGAATTATTGACCACTTATAGTTTCTGTTGCCATTGCCTTGGTTTGTTTGCCAAATCCAGGCCAGATTCTACATGAATCTCCTATTTAAGGGTCCAGTTTAACCATACAACTGATTGCATTTTTATGCTGCTTAAATTCTTAAGAGAATCTAATTGGCTCAGCCTATGTACTGGCTTCCCTTAGGGCGACCCAGTGCACTCCCCCTGACTAGAGAGGGCAGCTGGTGAGCTTGAGTCTGCAGCTGCAGCTGGGCAAATTGCTAAGGAGAGAATGCAAGGGAAAGAGAGCAAGATAACCATTGGAGATCTTCTTGATGATCATTCCAGCGAACTGTTTGGAAGTGATGGTGAGAACAGAAGTCATACTGCAGTGTATTAGAGTCCTCTGCAAGTAATCATGACAAGTCTCTAGAAAGGCATTGATCTGACTCTTTCAAAAATGTCCTCTGAGGCTGGACATGGTGGCTCAGTCCTGTAATTCCAGCACTGTGGGAGGCTGAAGTGGGAGGATCACATGAGGCCAGCAGCCTAGGCACATAGTGAGACTTCAAAACCCAACCAAACAAAAATCCTTACTTTGCTTTTTCATAAAGAGGCAGAAGCCTTCCCTGGTTCACTTTTTTTTTTTTTGGTAGACAGAGCCTCAAGCTATCCCCCTGGGTAGAGTGCTGTGGCATCATAGCTCACAGCAACCTCCATCTCCTGGGCTCAAGAGAGTCTCCTGCCTCAGCCTCCCAAGCAGCTGGGACCACAGGTGCCCGCCACAACGCCTGGCTATTTTTTTTGGTTGCAACCATCATTGTTGTTTGGCGGGCCAGGGCTGGATTTGAACCTACCACCTTAGGTGTATGTGGCTGGCACCTTAGCCACTTGAGCCACAGGTGCTGAGCCCCCTTGGTTCACTCTTAATGATCAAGTGGGAGACTGTGCTTTCTAATCAAGTTACCTTTTCCTCTGTTCTTTTAATTAAATTGTCAAAATATAACAAAACATAAAACATGGGCCTTGAGCTGGACCTGAATGGCCACACTAAAGTCATGTGATTCTGATTAGTCCTATGATGGATTTTGTGATCTTAGCCTTAGGACTAAGACTACAAAGGACTATGTTTGATGCAAATTTCAAGGAATAATTTACAAATGCAGTTGTGAATGAGAGTGCTGTTGTTTTTAACATTTGGACTCTTTTGGCTGTGAGGTCTGTGAGAAGACAGGTCACAGCAGGTCTCACCTTAAGATGACTTTAGCACATAATATAAAAGTGGCCATACCTGAAGGGTGGAGCATGTCATTTCATTGAGTCCTGACACTGAAGCATATGTGCTAATGAGGACCGGAGTTTGTTTAAGGACATCCACATTCATTAATCAGCCAACAAAGTATTTATTAAACTTCTATTATTCACTCAACCAATTCTGGCTGAACACCTAATAAAGTCAAAGTGCTGGGTCTTTTTAATTCTCCCAACAATGAGCAAGGATTACAATCCCATAATTTTATGAGATTTGGAGAGGGGAGGCTTACTTTGTTCAAGGTCCCAGGGGAGGCAACATTTAAACTGACTCTATAAAATCCAACCTTTAAAATCCATATCATTTCCTTTTAGCTGGGCCCTATCAGGAAATCAAAGCTGTGTAAGCTACAGTCCTTACCACTCAGGGCTGACAGTGAGGTCCAAAACTTAAGATTTAATGTCTATAAATCTATAGCAGTGGTTCTCAACCTTCCTAATTCCACGTTGTTACAAATTGAACAAAGGGGTCATGACCCACAGGTCGAGAACCAATGATCTGTAGAACAAGGTACGAGTGTACAACATCCAGGCAAGTGCCCCCAGGATCTCACAGCCACAGGTGTTTGTTTGGTTGAGCAACAAGGCAGGCAGCTGGAGCCATGGGGTTTGTGCTACTAAGAAAACTGGTAATATGTGGGTAGATGAAGGAGTGGGGGACGCTTCCAGTTAGCAGAGCTGAACAAGAAAAGGTGCAAAGCCAGAACAAGAGGTGGTGTCTGAGAAATTATAAATAGACCTGCTGCAGAGAACGCCAGTTCTGAATCTGAGATTAGAAAACAGAGTTGAAACAGTAAATGGAACCTGCTAGTGGAGGGCTTTAAATCCCAAGCTAAGAATTAGGACTTTATTCTGTGGTTAATAGGAAGCTTTTACAAGTTTTGAATATAAAAGGAACACAACTTAAGGATGTTTTAGAAAATTAACTTGATTGTCAATTACAAGGAGGACAGGAGATCAGCTAAGGGTGCTGGGCCAACGTCAGATAATGTGTGATGGAGACTCCTCACCCTTACGGAGGCCTAGATGGAGAAGGGTGCTTGTGAGATTGTGCCCAGAAAGAAGGTCCAAAGAGGTGGGCCAAACCAAGGTGGGGTCTATTTACTCACAGCCACGGAGGGCAGGGACAGAAGGGAGCTAGAGAAGTGGCTCCTGGCACCAGGGGAGTCTAAGGAGTGAAATGGGGCAATGGCCTAGTCCATTCCAGCTGTTGTAACAAAATATCATTCCCTGGGTGACTTACAAAGAACATAAATTTATTTTTTATTGTTCTGGAAGCTGGAAAAGTCCAAAATCAAGGCACTGGCACATGGGGTTTTTGATAAAGGCTGTCTTCTGGCTGTATCCTCGCAGGGCAGAGAAAGGGCCAGCAGCTCCGTGGGCCCCTTCCTAAGAGCACTAACTCATTCGTGAAGCCTCCTCCCTCGTGATCTAATCACTTCCCCAAAGGCCTCACCAAATACCATCCTCTTGAGGATTAGGCTCTTAACAAATGAACTTGGGGAAGGCAGAAAAATCTAGACTATAGCAGCCTATACGGGAAAAATGAGCCAGCCTTGGGGTGACGGGGAGAGGACTCACAGCAGGTTCTGTTGCATAGCATGACATGGATGGAGGCTACTGGTCGGAACCAAAACTGAGCGTGTCTGGCAGCCCCCTTACCACACACCATGGAGAGTGGCCTGGACAGTGACAGAAACCAAGACATGAGGCGTCTAAGGCAGACTGTGGCCAGTGGAAATGGGAAGAAAAATCTTATATGTTAGAGATGATGAGTAAAGACCCAATAGGACTTGTGGATCCACAGTAGATAATGAGCAGGAAGGGGAGCAGAAGACCCTATAAGCACTGACAATCGCTTTAAGAGCAAGCCATGTTCCAAAGGTTAATTTGGAAGCTAGTTATTTGGGCTTTGGCAAAGTTTCATCATGAAGACACTTTTCTCGTGAGAAAATGTTTTTGAAAATAGTAGTCTAACACATCAGGAGTATTGCTCCCCTCACCTAGCCATGGAATCTAAACTTCCCTCCCACTCACTCCAAATCTGCCTTCGGATCTTGGCTTTTGGTTCATGGGCGAAGATTTGTGAGCATCTGTGGGCCTACACTCCTCTCACCTGCAGGTTGTGGGAAGTAACTATATGCCCCCCAACTTCTAACTCTGTACTTTTCCATCTTCGGCCTATTCCTGGGCAGGATGCAATTTCAGGATTATTTGGTTCAAAAATGTTTACTCTTCTACCCTGTGGTGAACTAACTGCTTCTTTTCCACTCTCCTGTTGCTGAAGCATCAAAAAAAGTAGCCTTTATGAGACTTTTTCCTTCCTAAGGAGTTTCTGATCCCCCTCCCTTTGTGTATTCAGCTCCTCTATATGGAAAATTAAGGGCCATGTATGTTACAATACGAGCTTTGAGGACACAGAGAGGGGCCGAATGAAGATTAATCTCATCTCATTTAAGGGATAAAATGGACTCAGAAGAGGGCACTACTAGGTCTCATCAGTTTTCTCTCAAACCCAGGTCTCACTTACAATATTTTAAAACCTTGCCCATAGCTCTATAGCCATGTCCACATCTGCTATATGTGTCCCCAGCTGTTGTCAATGTCTTGGTCACTAATTTTTCTGTTCCTTCTGCTTCTCTCTAACATATGCTTCTGAAAGGTTTTCTTGTATAATTCTAAGTAATTTAAATTCTCAAATTAAAATAATGAAGTTAATCATTTTCAGAAATATCAGGAAGAATCCAGGAATGCAGAAATGAAAGTGATTATGAAATGTTTAGCTTTTCAGGGTGTCGTTTATTGCCAAATCTTAGTAGAAAGCACTTTTTAAAAATTAGACTTTATTTTTTAGAACAGCTTCAAATTTACAGAAAAATTGAGAAGATGGTCTAAAGAGTTCTCATATACCCTGACACCTAATTTTTAACCAAATTGGTAACTTTTATGTTAGTGAGGTACATCTGTTAATTTAATGAACCGAAGACACATGGACTGGAGTTCATACTTTCTCATACTTTCTTTAGATTTCTTTCATTTGGACCTACATAATTTTTCAAGGATTCCATCCCACATCATATTTAGTTGCCGTGTCTCCTCTGGCTCTTCTTGGCAATGATGATTTCTCAGACTTTCTTTATTTTCTGTGATCTGGACAGTTTTGAGTAGTATAATTCAGGTGGTTGGCAGCAAGCCCTCATGGAGTTTGGGTGGTGTTTTTCTCATGATTAGAATGGGAAATGACTTAGCATGGTTATGTTGAATATGAAGGTCAGGCCGCTATGGGCTCCTGCCCAGGAAACCCAGTGGGCGTCCTGGTGGGTTGGCATCTCACAGCAACGACAGCAACTGACCTCTATAAAGCGGACGTCTTGCTCTGTCCCTGCAGCAGAGGTTGTGACAAGGGGGCGGCACTTCCACATGGCATTTAGGTTCACTCCATCCTGCCTTGCACCCACTTCAGGGAGGCAAGTTCCGGTTGAGCCAGACACGAACCCCAGCCAAGTTCACTAAGAGGTTGCAGTTCAGGGAAGATCATGCACATT